GGGGCTGCGGCCCCCCCAGAACCCCCCCCCTCAAAGGCCTTACGGTGTGCTGTAAGCAACACCTGACGTCTGGAAACACACATGCCGTACCACCATCGTTCTGTGCACCGAACTGCATTTGCGCCAGTGTCTCTGTGAGCAGGGCGCGGAGCCACTTTGACTGTCCATAAACGTCGTGAGCACGTGAAGGCAAAGTTATATATATGTACACTGTCGGCACCATCAACACCACTGCATTGCACCAGCCGCCGACCAGTTGCTGCAGTTGTGCGTGGCCGCTTTGCCGGGGGATCCTCAACTTCGCTCAAATCGCTGGCTTCACTGACTTTAAGAGCGGCAACTGCGGCATGCCTATCCTTGTCTTCTGTATTATCTAATTATCCTTCTAAATGTTTGGGGCATTGCGTCTGCGGAGTTTCTGAGCCGTTTGCCTTGGTCAAGAATCAACGAATGCCCCGTTGACCTAAGTTGAATGCAACAGCGGGCCGTCTCATGGTGATATCATCAAATATCTCATATATAAATAGTGTATGAGCTCCAAATGTTCAGCTTTATATGTGCAGAAGGCATTTGCGGCGACGTATGGCCGAAGTAATGAACCAGTACGGCCACTGACCCAACGATTCCATTTCTTCCAGGCTCAGACCCTCATTCATTCCCCCAAAAGTAATATATTACCAAAAAAACACTGGTACTGCGTAGTTAGTTCGTGACTTGGGTTTGGGGGGAGGATGGAGAGCAGGAAGGAACGGGGTGCTTACACCGCGTAGGGGTCTTCAATTGTGCCTGCAAAAGGTAGAACCCAATAAAACCCAATAAAACCTCCTAAAACCTCCTTTCTCCCCACCGCAAAACACACTGCATTCCCCCAAAACAACCCTACAACCATCCCTAAGAACCAGCCCTCAACTCCTCTTTCTCACTCACCCACCCACCCACCCACTCACTCAATCACCCACTCACCAGCCACAAAGGTACTCATATCCACGGTACCGTCCTCAGCCAGGTGGGCCGCCCCCACGGGTCTCCCCAAACCCCATTGCGCAACAGCCCCCCGGTCGTGAAGATCCCCCAGCACAGCCCCGAAAAGCGGAGTTCGAGCAGTCAGGTACTGGCAGCCTGGGTGCGTGAGGGGGGGAGGAGGGGTGCGAGGGGGGGGAGGTGGCCAGGGGGCAGGATGGCGGGAGGAGGGAGGAGGGGAAGGGGAAAAGGGGGAGGAAAAAACACAATTTTCAGGTGTTCTTTCGCGGAAAACGGTGTCACGCGACGTGGCTTGGGTTTTGCCAGGTAGTTCGTTGAGGAGAGGCGTCGTGTGGTCAGATCTGGTTGCAGGGTTCAGCTTTTTCCTACGGGTGGGGGTGGATGAATAGAGGAGGAGGAGGAGGAGGAGGTAGGACATGACTACTTGACAGAAACCTCTGTCTCCCTCCGCATGCACGCAAGTACGCGTTGCCGTATGTGAAGGTATGGCAGCGACAGAGGTAAGAGTCGCACCGTGGTCGAAGGTGAGCCGCTCGCCGTGGCTCCCAAGCGTCACGGTGCGGGTGCACATGCGGCCGCCAAGGCCACGGCCCTGAAGAGGACGTGGACGTGGCGGGAGGGTGTGAAGAGGGTGACGCTGGTAAAGGAGCGTACGGGGCTTTGTGCAATTATTGTTGCCATACATGTTTCGGCTTTTTTGGGAAAAGAACAGGGAAAATTCGGAAAGGGTCCAAGCTCAACGGAAAGATCGCCAGGCTATGTAACTCCGTTTCGTTCCTTAGTGTAAGGCTAGGCCGGGCCCTGGAAAAGAGGACCGGGAGTCTCCGTGATTGACACTGAGTCGGGAGATTCTTTCCGTTCCAATACGCTTAGGGTTGGAAGTGCATACAGGGGTTCTTGATTCAGATATCGCTCGGAGGCTTGGGGCTCACCTGTTCGACGAGCACCACATCTAGCCCAGCGGTTGCAAGGACATCGGCTGCTGCCAGCCCGGCGAAGCCCCCGCCTACGACCAGGGCGCTTCCGGAAGCCGCGCAACGTACGTAAGGCTTAATTTGCACTGGACATGGTGCTACCGTTGCCACAGATGGTGTTGCGTGTGCCTGACGACATACTCGGCTGACGTTCCGAACGCAGTGCATCGAGATCGATGTAAATGTAAACTATATTCGAATCATAAATTTTACAGTCAGTAAGGTGATCCACTAGCAGGAGTCTTGAATTGGCTTTCCGTGCAACGTCACCGTTGGCCAACGAAACCGATACTCTTCCCAGGGAGGAGGCACAAGCCATGTTTGACTACACTTCATCATATCCTTGTAGCGTGTACTGTGTGTAAAGTAACCTGCCCGGACAGCTTAGCGTTTACTGATCGAGTCCATCGCTGATAATAACCGTTCAACACACCAATTGCAACGGGCAAGGCAGTATTATTTTCGTTACACTTACAGCCTGGATAACGGTCGCTACGCATTTCTGCGTTTGGCGGCCGAATTGGAGAATGTCGTCGCAGCTGTAAGGGCGGGAGCTTAGCCCAAGGCTGCAATGCCACGGAAGGGCCAGCACGATGACGAGGATGGAGATGAGGGTGGAGACGATATCTTCACCAGTATCCTCTTCGGAAACATTAATGAGGATGGACAGGCGGACGTGGACTACTTGGACGAGGTGCGGGCTCCCACCTTTTCTACATGGCTTTGCCCCAGTACTAATAAGACTCCATACTCCGTCCGGGCGGGGCTCATATTTCTTCTTTCGATGCGCACGCCGATGGTGCTTACATGGATGTGCCCCTCATGGCCGGGACCTGCCCGGTCAAACCTGCAGGATGCTCGCCAAAGCCTCACCATCCTGCGCAGCAAGCTTGATAAGGAGGAAGGTGGCCTCACGAAAGGGCTGACAAAGGTGAGGAGGCCGCGATTGGGCGACGATGGGACCCACCACGCCAGCACCTGGCACCCCTGCCCTCAACCTCCTTGGGTTGGGCTGACACGGGCACATGCGCTTGGCAGCCAACATACATAACAGGTGGCAGGGACCGTGCTGGGTGCGGGGATGAGAAAAGGCACCGCCTGGGGCTACTTCGTAATGGGGAAGGTGACATCTCTCTCGCCTCATCCACGTCAATCGAGGGCCATGGCCGGGACCTCAACAGCCATGGGGTTAGAGAGAGAGAGGGAGTGGACAGCATGAGCGGTATGAGGTATTTTATCTTAGGCCAAACCTCAAAGCTCACGACCACGACCACTACACCTGCCACGTTCGCCGTCGAGAGTAGTGGTGATGATGGTGGCGGTGATGGTAATAGTGACAATCTCAGAACGACCTGAGCTTTGTATTGTGTGGTGAGTGTGAGCGTTCTGTGATTGTGATTGTGGCTGTGGTCCAACGATAGGAAGTGGAGGAGGATGGCGGCAACGAGGCGGCGGCGGCGGCGACTGTCGTACCTATCGCCGGCGCGGTCGACTACGAATGTGAAACGGATGAGGCAGAAGACTACGACACATCGGCGGCGGCGGCGAAGGGCGCCGGGGGAATGGCTCCAGGGTGGGTGCTCAACCGGGTCGCGATGGATGCGGATGTGGGCGAATAATAGCAAACGCGTCTTGACCCATGGGTCAGTCAGCAGACAGGTTGTCGACGTGAGCCGATGCTTACGTGTCTCGTCCCTCGACTCTGTCCACTGACTCACATGTCGCCGCACACGCCAAGCACAGGTCCATGGAAGCCCATATGTATGTATGTGTGTGTATGTATGCATGCATGCATGTCGTATGTATGTATGTATGTAGCGACTGGTGTGTGCTTTTGCTTTCTGTCCCCGCTGCCGCGGCTCCCTCCACACACACAACCCCGCACTCCATCCACACCTATCTATACCCACCACACAGACCCCTCCTCCTCCTCCTCTTTCCAGGCCTGCTCTCCAGCAGCTCCACAGCATGCCGGCGGTGCAAACCTACATGCTGCTGCAACAGCAACAACTGCAACGACAGCTACAGCCCACTACAAACGCAACAGCAGTAGCAGCAGCACCAGTAGCAGTAGCACCCAGCGGAGCTGCCGATGGGGAAGATGACTACGACACACCAGCCCCGGGCCCCGGGGCCCCAGCAGCACCGGGGTTGCGCTTGGCTCCGGGCCTTATGGCTCCGGGCCCGGGTGGGGCCCCCCCACTACCTCCCTCCCACACAACCCCAGTTCCGGGCCCGGGCTCGGGGTCCGTATCCGGGTTCATGGCGGGGGTGCCCGGGCCCTTAGCACCGGGGCTGCCGTCGGCTCCGTCCTTGCGGCCTGGCGTGGTGGCGATGACCGCACCGCCGCCGCCGCCATCGGCAGCAGCAGCACCAGCAGCAGCAGGTCCTGGGGCTGCCGGGGCAGTCGGAGCTACGTCCTTGGTAATGGCGGCGGGGTCGTCCGTAGGGCCGTTGCCGACCGGGCCATTGCCAGGGGCGGGGTTCATGGCGCCGGGGCCTGTGACCGGCTTGGCTGCGGCTAGGCAAGGTGAGGGATGAGGGCGAGGACAGGGACCGGGAAGAGAGGGGGGCGAAAACGGCGACTGGGCGTATCTGGGTTGGGTGGGGCCGCGAAGTCTGGTGTGGTGTTTGTGTATGTATGTCTGTGTGTGTGTGTTTGGGGATCTTGTAGCCGAGTTCGGCAACGTCCTGGCGTGTCAGGGAGCCGTACCGCCCGGTGCCGTACCTTCTGGTGTGGCTCTCTTAGGAAGGGGGAGTGCAAACAGAGAGAATGAGAGGGAGAGGGCCACGCGTGTGTGTATGTGTGTGTGATGGTGTGTGGGGGAGATGGTGGGTGTCGTACACTGAGCCACGTGAGGCATCACCCCACGTCAGGCAAACCTGTTGACGGGCGAGGCGGGTGAGAGGAGGGAAAAGACGCGGGAGGATGGGGTGGTTGGCCGGGTCCTGGAGTGGGGACCGTGGGGACCGTGAACCGTAAACCGTGGGGACAGTTTCGAGGGGTACAACCCCACCACCACCACGGAAAGGGGGCGGAAAAGGGGGCGGGTTAGGATGGAAATTACGGAAATTAGGTGGGTGCATGAGGGACAGGATCGCAAAAATAATCAGGGGTGATTGGCAAAACAACTTTGCATATCGCCCGAACATACAAGGGCCCATGCCCAGGCAACTGGCTGGGAAGCTGCTACGTAACCACCTTAACGGTCGTGTTGTACGGTTGACGGTGGTGATGGCGACTGCCGATTCGAGGTGGCATGCAATGATTTTTTTCATTGTTTTACAGGGCTGGGAGTAACGGCTGCGCCGGGCGGTGCGGTGGCGGAGGCGCAGGAGCCTTCCGTGGCGGCGGCGGCGGTGGACGCTAAGGGCGATCTGGTGGGTTGGGGGCGACCCTGCACCTCTCTCTCTCTCTCTCATACACGCAACGCATTTCCCGTACGGGGCCCACATAATCGTACATCTCTCGTACATACCTCTTGTTATACAATACAGAGTATACACCTCTTGTGACACCGCCGCTCGGGCGGTATCTTTTCTTAGCTGTGTATTGCCGTATCGTTGGCCTTGTTGGAAATGGGTTGGGGGGAGGGTCTCCCCCAACCCCCGCCCCGCCGGCACGCATGTGGTACCCCCGACCCCATACACACGCCCCCCCTAGCTATGCGCTTCTCCCCCTTCCCCCTTTTGGTCAGCTCTACCCCTGGCACTACACTCTTGCCCTGGCAGCAGCTTCACTCGTTCGTGGTTCGTCTTCCCCCCCCCCGCCTTCCTGGCCTCCAGGAGTCGAAGCAGGACGCTCTGGGGTTACAGATCCTTGCCGTGTTGCCGGGGGGCGAGCGAGTGATTCGCCACACGGCGCTGGACATCTCCAGTCTGGAGCGGTACAACAAGGACATGCGGGTGCGTGGGGCCGGGGTGTAGGGAGGGGGCTTTTTCCCTCTTTTTCCTCTTTTAATCTTCTTCTT